TGGTGAGGCGCGCCGTCGACTCCAATCGCCGTCTGCCATTCCCGGAAGGTGGAAGGATCCCGGACGAGCACCCATTTGTGCGGAAAATCTCGCTGTCAAGAACTGAATGTCCAAAAGGAGACAGAGGAGTCCTAAAACTTTATTCGAATAAAGGGAGAGTCCACCGGGCATATCCCTGTGGGGTCTCTCAAGTTTGCTGGGGGACGCAGCCCCGCTTTTATCCTAATTTCCCGACCGAGGGACGCCCTCTCCTTTTCCCCATTGGCCAAGGTACTCAGAAGTTACAGCCTTCCCGGCCCGCCTACACCGAACTCCGGCCTCCCGCCATCTGTTCTCACCTGCGCTCACCAACTCCTTTGTCCCCCTTGCTGAAGAATGTGGGGCAATTGCCCTATTTCCCTTCTTTGTAAAGGCCCCATCTCCTTGCAGATGGCTCTTTTTGTCCCACTTGGCTCATGGCTCCACTCAGTCTCCCCTCCCTTTGTCCTGCTCTTCAGCCAAACTGTGGAGAAACCCCCTTATTGATGAATACAGAAACTTGAGCATTCCGCCAAACTGTGGAAAAACCCCCTTATTGATGAATACAGAAACTTGAGCATTCCGCTCACTCTTACAGGATAAGTAGATTAATTTTGAATGGATTCCTGGGTATCTGTTTTTCAGGTCACTAGTTTCCTTTGTTCTCTGTTTTCTATACAGGCTATGAAGGGCACTGTGTTTTAGCAAGAGTAATAAGGATCTGTCAGTAGGAGCACATGATATTCAATATTACCATTTAATGCATAAATTGCCATCTTCTCTCATGCATTCAGTGGCAGCTCCTCACATCTGATAATAGAACATAAAGGCAAAACACTTGCTTTAGAGAGCTCCATTTGCATATTTCTCACCCTTCTACACACATTTAAATATTTCCTGTAAAAGGTTTGACAGGTCATTCATTTTGTTTCTTAAAATGATTTTTTCCCATTGAGACAAAAGCCCTTTTGGAGGACAAAAAGACAAAATGAATGACAGGAGAGTACAGAACAAAATGGAGGAAGGCAGTGGCAAGTCTTGCAAAAACAGTTTCCTTCATCCGGAAAGGGCTATGAACATGATACCTAATTAAGGACATTTTGAATGTTGCCAGTATTTTATAGAAACCTTGTTTCATTAATAACTTATTTTACTTTTGCTTTATTTAAATATTAACAATAAAATTTAGAATTTTCTAAATTGCTCTTAGAGCAAAATAAAACAAAGCAATTCTTGCAACACAGAAACTGCATCTCTTCTGAGGAAATAGCATATGTATCAAATCTATAGCTCACTTTAATAGAGGACTTAATAATAGTGTAACATATGATCATCCATATAGTAATCCAGTAAAAATGCTCTAAATCTAGGAACCTATTAATCATATAATATACTGCCATTAACCAAGGAATACCAAGCTGCCTTGCTTAAGTAATTGCCTACAGTCTACAGTCTGATTAACACTTTCTGTTTTATTTTTGAAAATTTAATTTGTTATCTGAAAACAGACCAGTTATATCAGGTAGATAAATAAATGTAATAAAATATGCTACCTACACTGGACACTGTCCTAAATTAAAGGAGCAGGCGATTCAGCAAATAAATAACATTCTGGCAAGGTCTCTTCAACCATATAGGAGTGAATACAATGATGTGGTTCAAATGTCCATGCCTTCTATTTAGTTCATAAGACCAAGGATCATCCCAAATTTCAATTCAAGATGGCATTGTAATTAGTCTTCTATTGTCACAGAATTAGAAGAAAAAAAAAGCTACTGTCATGAGTACACTTCAATGCTTGTGATTGCTCTGGATGATACTTCTGGAAATGTGGAAAATGAAATAGTCAGTATAAAACACATCATAGGTCATTTCTGCATAGTCAAGAAAGCATTTTTTTAAAGGGTACATTTATTTAAAAGGTACGATATTCCTTTATTAAAGGTGTTGATATATCACTATTCTGTTTAGGACTTGTTTTTAAAAAATGACATTTTGATCACAAGAGAAGAACTTATTAATTGTGTTATTTGGAAAACTTCTTATTATCTAGGTTATACGGAAGTTGTAGAACATGTACTTCATGTTCAGTAAATTCCCACTTTGGGGGAGTTTGGTAGTTTGTTGGGAACTGTTTGTCTTGGTAATTGCTCAGGTCTCTGCTGCCTTTTTTTTTTTTTTCCCTTCTTATATCTTTTTATTTCTATTCCAAAGTTAATTTTCCTCATCTCTTCATATCTTCTATCTTCAATTTCTTAATGCAAAGTTGCAAAGTCTGTTTACTTTCTACATGTATTGCATACTAATCAGTACTTAGACCTTTCAGACTTGTGTAGAGATGACCGAACTAAATGCTCAGTTAGTTATAGCAATTAATTTCTCCTAACTTTAAACTACATCGTAGTCTAATGTAGTCATCAAGAGTCTTTGACTCTCTTTAGAGTCAAAGAAGAGGAATAAGAACCTCTGAGGGGAAATGTATCTACAAAACTTTCCTAAGTGTGACCACAGTCATTATACAGTGGAATGAACAGCCCCTCTGCCAGGTCCTGTGTCTTTGCTTTGACTTATAAGGATGCAAAGCAACTAACTTGGAGTGGATACATAAGGCTGAAATTAAAAATGCTCAATCCAATGTTCTACCTTTGTTGAATTCTGCTTGTGAATTATGAGTGCTCACTGTTCCAGAAAGAAATAATACAAAAAACATTGTGGACATTCAGGACCAAAATGACATTGCAGCTAGCAAACATTTTCATTTAATATTTGCTCATGGGCAAAGACATTGTGAGCGAGCCAGAGGCAGAGGGTTGTTTCATCTGTTTTGATAAATCATTCCATAGTTGTAGCACGGATGCTCAACTCATGTCAAATATCTCACCTTTATCCTTTGTTAGATTTGTATAATAAAGGGCTCTGGACAATATGGGGGATTCTCAGATTTGTCGTATTTTCCAGTGTGGTACTGTAGTGAATATATAAGAATTCTCTCTGAAATAGAATAAAGAATGCACATAGCACATCTGCAAGGTGCAAAGAAAATTGCTGATGTATGCCTGGGTGACTCTAATAAGAAGTGCAGCAAACCGCTTTGCCATAGAAGAAGCTATTCAGTAGCATCTAATCAAAGTAAGCCAAGCTTGTCAGCTACATCCCTGAGAAAGAAGTGGCATGAAATCAGACCTCCCCACCTTCCCACTGTGGGAACCCCAGAAGAATGTCTAGTTCATAGCCCTGTACTAGATATTTTCAACATAGTGGGCTAGTGTGAGTGCTCAAAATTTGTCATGGCCTATGCAATGTATATCATCCAGATGTTAAGTATACCGAAGTAATTGATTTTTGCAAGCCATTAGTGAACCGCTTACCATAGTTACTCAGTGCCATATAATTTACCACTGTAGCCCTAAAGTTGAGTTTAGAATCCACTGGCCTACCTTCTTCCTAAAAAAACATTCGTCTATCTTATTCTTAAAAGTCACTGGAGAAGAGATCCCATATCTTCCATGACTCTCTATTTCAGTGGTTATCTACTCTTACTATTTGAAATCTTACTCTAAGGCCAAAAGCTACTTCATTGCAAATTAGGCAAATTGCTTCTTGATCTGTCTCCAGTTAAGGTTGAGCACTCCTGTATTTATTTATTTAATTAACTTTTTAATCTGATTATTATGCATTAGAGGACTGTTATCATGCTCCTTCTTCTCCCACTATTTATTTATCTAAATTAAACTGGTAACTCCTTCATATTTGTTCACAAATCATATTTTCTAAACTGCTGATCTGACTTTTTTTATCTACTCCCACCCAAAAGAGATCAAAGGTTGGGGCAACTGCTGAGTAGAATGAGTAATCCCTGTTCTGTGAAGCACCTCTTAACCCTGTCGAGAGTGAGATTTGTCTTGTCATTCTGTTACTCATATTGAAATTTTGGTTGCTTTTCTTGAGAAACACTATCAGAATAACTAGTCAGTTATTTCAGAGTTCGTAGTTATGCATTTGCTCCTTTCTTTCAGAATATAGCACTTTGCACCTGTCTATATTGAATTTCATCTTATTGATTGCTTCACAAGTTTATCACAATCTTTAGAATTCTGAACCTGTTCTCTGAAGTGCTTTCAAATTCTTCCTTCTAGCTGGGTATCTTCGAATTTGATCAGTTCTGTCATCCAAGTCATTAATACAGTAGTAAACAGCAATGCATTGACAGACCCCATTCAGAGATACCATCTAGCTTGACAATTGTTAGTGACATAGCAATGACAGTACAAATCTGTGCTGACTACTTTTTATGAACTTGCTATATCTAAGGAGCCAGTAAATTTTTCTATTTTAAATATTTTCAGTGATTAAGTGGGCTTACTGGTCTGTAATTCCTCAGCTCTGCGGGTGTATGGAGGAGCAGGGTCTCTGTGATGGTGAGCCAAAGACCTTTATTTAGGGTTAAACACAACTTACAGAGTTTCCGATCCCGGAGCCGCCCCTGCCCTGCCTGGGCAGCACAAGGAGCCCAGCAACCCAACCAGCCAATCAGGCAGGTGATCTCGCGCGAGGCCGTTCAATGAGCTGCCTGGTCACGTGCTGGCCGCGTGGCTGCATCCCAAACCCTCAACAGTCTCCCCAAGGGACTATATGGGGATAAGTCGAGGTCGTCATTCCTTTTCCCAGCACCCTCTTTTGGCTTCCCTTTGCTGCCCTCCCTGGGCATCCATGTCAGGGTCATCACCCCTTTTGTTCCCCACTGTCCCACAGTACTCACCAGTGAGATTTCAATGGTCCCTTCCATCAAACC